CCCCGGCACCCCTGTATCCCCGGCACCGGCACCCCGCATCCCCGGCACCCCACACTGCCTGCACCCCGCACTCCCGGCACCGGCACCCCGCATTCCCGGCACCCCACACTGCCTGCACCCCACACTGCCTGCACCCCGCACTCCCGGCACCCCGCATTGCCTCACCATCCCCCGCAGGCGCGCCAGTGCCCGGCCCCAGCTCCCGCAGCCTGATCCCGCAGTCCCCGCCATGATCTCGCCCCACGCAGCCCAGCCCCGGCCAGAGTGGCGGATGCCCGGGGTCACAGGTGCCACCCAGGCTTGTGGAGGGTCAGAAGCTGCCCCTGTGCCCTCCCCCCATCCTGCCGGCCCGCCTGGGCTGTGTCCCCGCATGACACTGAGGGCCGTGCAGGTGTTACAGTGATGGGGGGAGCAAGGTCAGTCCCGGCTGGGATCCCTTCTGCAGCCTGGGGATGTTCCTGGGGAATGGATCTTTGCCACTGTCACAAAACAGAATTTCAGAAGGAAAAGCAGGTCACGTTAAATCTGCAGCACTAGTGGCTTCTCTGACACCCAGGAGCCTCCTCAGGGCATGGCCCACGATGTCAGCCCTCTGACAGCTACAGGCATCTCCCTTATAAACTCTAAACCCACCACTGCTGACCAGCCCTGGACCAGCACAGGCTGTTTGACACCACAGCAGAGCAGGTCCCATGGAGCAGGAAAGGCAGGGGACCTTCCTTCCAGTTACTCCTTGAAGGTTATCAGGCCAGGCCCTGAACAGTACCTGGTCTCTTTGCCCAGAGCTGGGGATGGGTTCATGGGAAAGGGGAAAGACAGAGAAGGAGCCTGTCATCCCCCATCACCCTCTGGTCTTCTGTGTGCAGGGCAGGTCGGGTCATGAGCGCAGCCGCTCCTTCCCCGTCCTGCACACATCTGCAGGTTTTCCTGCAGAACAGGTTTTCTGGTATTAGTGATACCACTGCCTCTTTCTGTCTCCCAGTCCCACCCCACAGTCCTGAGGTGGAAAAAAAAAGGAACAAAGGCAGAGACAGTATCATAAAAGACCGTAAAAAACAAAAAGAAGAAACTGCAGCAGTTAGTGCCTTGTGTTAGTGAAGCTCCACAGCTCCTCAGTGCACATCCCTGAACGCCCCCAGAAAGGCTCTCACAACAGACAGGTACCTGCTCTCCCACTTTTCCTCCCACCAGGAACACTCAGTTCCCCTTCAGTGATTCAGATAAAACCACCCTCTTGCCCAGGAAAAGCCTGTTGGTGTTACTAAACAGGAAGGCCTCACTGATCACCTCTCAATCCTCACCACCCACACACCACAGCCACCTTCACTTCCTGGCTTCCCTCTCACCAGCCCAGAGCAGGATGCAGCCAGCCATGCCTGTGCTGCTGAGCCTGGCTACCCTGTGTCTCTCTCCGAGCCCACACACTCCTGTCCTCGCCAAGGAACAGGTGTGGAGCAGATATTTTACACAAGCACGCAAACCTGGCCATGCAAAACTGAGAGCACCCCTGGGTCCACACAGGTGAGGAGGTTCATGAAGGCTGGTTACCCATCTGCACAGCTCTGGGGGCTCCAGGAACACCTCTTGCTTCCTTGGGCATTTTTTTTGCCCAAGTCAAATGCGTTGCTCCTGTCTTCTGATATCAGGATTGACCAGGAGCTGGTTAGGAGGACTCATCTCCCCTCCATCTCCTTGGTTTTTAGACAGCATGAGGAGTGCACAGTTGATTAGTTCTCTCTGTATGTTACTGCTTTTTATGGTGGGTTTTTTTCATCCCTGGACTCATCTTCAGCAAGTTGCACTACATTGACTGCAAGGTGAAGGTGTTGTTCTTCAGTGACCTCTGTTGGGAAGGATCCAACCTGCTTTCCTCACAGAGAGGTTTTCCCTTCCCTGTTTCTGTACTGTTCCACCTAAGCAGGGGTTTTGCTCTTTGGAGGTGCTGTGTCCCTGACAGCAGCCAAAGTGGCTGCAGCTACCACATTGTTCTAAACTGTTTCTCAGGATTTTGACAGTCCACTAGTAATCAAGGTTTGTTTTTTTTTTATTTTCCTAAAAATTGCCCCTCCTGCATTCTGGACCTTTTATAGGCATCTTTCAGCAGAATAAATCAAAACCAAAATCTAGCCAATCCTGTTCATGGAGAAGGCATGGAGAATGCAAATTCCTGTATTAAATGTCAACTGATAAATAAGAATCTAAAAGACATTGTTTAAAATTCTATTATTGCCTCCACACAGGACAGTGATTTCTGTCATTGGAGCTGTGCTCCTGTTTCCCATTTTGCCTGACTGTGCTTGCCCACCATCCACAACCACCCCAAGTTCCACAGCACATCCAGCTGGAACCACCAGCTCCTCTGGCTTGTGATGCAGAATGTGAGTACAGAATGAAGGAACAAAGGAGGCAGGAGATGGAAGCTTTCAAATCCATTTTTCCCAACCCCATAGACCACCCTTAAGTCTTTTAGTTTAGTATTTTACTTCTTTATTTAGTCTTTTCTTATGTGAACTACTCTGTTCACAATTTGTATACCTGTGACTTTTTCCATAAGAATGATTATTAATAAATAAATAATTTATTAACAATTCCCTGACAAGACAGGGATGGGATTCTCCTGGGGAAGTATACTTTCCTCATGTTTCTTTTAAAGATGTCAGATAACTACCTTAATTGCACAGAATCAAAGCCAAACTCTATTGACGTCAATGCAGTTACCTGGGTTTTAATAATATCAGATAAATATAAAAAACAGTATCAAGCAAAAATTCACAGAGAATAATAAAACACCCACACAAACCTCCCGTTGAGATGTTCCTGGTGCTGACACTTCCCTTATTTGGAATGTATGGCTGTAGTGCCTATGACTCTGTGCTCAGACCAGAGCTCTCCTTTGAATCGTCTCTTTTCCCCTTGAGAAAATAATGTGCAGAAAATGCCTCTAACACCTCGGTAATGAGATGAGATTAGCACTAGAAAAACAGCTCCAGACTCAGAAAATATCAGGGACCTGGTAGCAGGAATAGGTTCTGCAACCCCTTTCCACTCCTTGAAGATGCAGGACTGCCCCTGTTCGAGCTCCAATGTGGTGCAGCCGAGTAACACTTGAGCTGAGTGACGTGGAAGGACCAGTGTGAGAAAGTCCTGAGAGAAAACATCTAGGGCCAAGACACCTTGGCACTTGGGCAGGGGCCCTTGTAAAGCTTGTGCTCCCCATGGGCAGATCTGTGCTCAGCCCTGCACCTTGCTGGTCCCAGCCTTACTGAACCGGCTGCATGGCTTCACTCCAAACCTGTCCTGTCACAGCTGATCTGTGTGGCCAGCACTGCAAGCTAACGCCATCCCATCCACAGCACACCCAGGACTGGTAATTTAGCCACAACAAAAAGCTTAAAGAGCCATAGCTATTGAGTAAGCAATGACTTTGAAGCACATGCAAGTAGAAAAATTGATGTGCAGAAAAGATCATTTAGCATTCATTTGGTTTCCCTGACACTAATTATAACAGGAAGAAGAGTTCCCTCTGTTTATTGACAGGGATTGAGTGAATGTATTTCTTAGCTTCCTAACCCAAACTATCAAAGATGATTTTTGATTTTGCTCTGAAAATAAGAGTTTTAGAATTTTACTGAATAAAAGCAGCATCACCTGGGCACTGGAGCCATGCCCTTGATGGCTATCAGCTGCAGCAGCTCTAAGGAAACAGTGGAGATACCCTGCTGCTGGTCTACACTAGGGAAGGAAGTGACATCCTGGGAAAGCTGCTTGCTCAGTGGCCCTAGAACATCTCAGTAATTCCAGGTCAAGAGACAAATTCTGACACCTCTGTGGCAGCAAGATGATCATCGCCAAAATGAAAAACACAGACAACACAGACAACGCCAGCAGCCTGTCAAGCATGTAAGTAATCCCAACAGCTCCAGCAACTTCATAAACCTTAAGCTAAAATGTAACCATGCAACGTTTCACTTGGCTTAAAAGATAAGGCTTAAAACAGCATTGTTTACAAGCTGCGTTTTGTTTTGTTTTGTTTTTTTTTTGTCTTTACTTCTGGGTTTTCTGTTCCAGAACTTCACGGTTCAGTGGTGCTACCGAATGCCAAGGAGTCAATCCTCAGCAACAGACTGCTGAGGCTCTTTTGGGACTAATTAGTTTGAGAAGAAAACAGCTGCCACAGTTTGGAAAGACTAATTGGGGGTCAGCTACTTTTGTTCCATCTCTCCTTGCCATTTCTGTTTGATTTCACTGGGAGCCCAGAGGTCCTGTGATCTTTATTACAACTTCATAGTAGCCCTCAAATGAAAGGACAATTCATCACATATCACTACATTAACTACTTTTCAGGGGTACCTCTCCTTTTCAAACAGCAAGGTTCAGCACTTGCACAACTGGTAGATACCCACGTGCTAAGCATTATTTATTATAAATCAACTTTTTAAACTCTGTGGTATAACTGGACAGCAACAAACCAACCAAGCTGTTTGACTTGGGTGGAGATTGGGATCTTTAGGAAAGCCTCTTACCCCAAGAACAGATCAGATCTTAGGAGGGAGGAATGACAGCCCCATGGTAATGTCTCATGCAAGTGGTCCAGCAGAGCTGACCTCTGGGGGAGCACCACATCACAGGTACCCTGGCAAGGGAAGCCACAGCAAGGTAAAACCAAAGCATTGAGCACATTTCTGTGCTTATTGCAATCCCTTCAAATCACTTTTCCCATCTTTAGTCCTCACCTCACTACAACCCCAAGCAGCTCATGCTTAGGAGCAAAGAACGCACTTTTATCTAATACATGCCCAACCAGATCTAGCTGAGGAGGCACTGGCCTCTAATGCAAACTTGTAGGTTCTAACAGATAAAAGTAAAACCAGGCAATTTTACTTCTTACATGCACAAGTCAGGATTTCAAACCTTGGTTGAAGCTGCTGAGCCCCAAGCAGAGCTGGCAGCTGAGCAGCTCCTTGTCATGTTGGATGAAGAGAAGCTGCTGCCAGAGGCTGCCAAGCTGCAGCAAAGCTCCCAATCTTAGGCTCCTGCAAGGAGATGAAGGTTTGTAAAGCCAAGGCTGATGGAGCTGCCTTGAGACCCTGCACCTGCCCACAGGCAGGGTTCACTCTGAGGTTTTCTAGCAGAGACATGTACAGCTCCAAGTGAGTGGAATCACCCAGCACTGTTTCCTTCCCCAGTGCCACAAGTCTATCTTTGAAGTTTGGAGCAGATTTTACTTAAACTCCAAATTGCCTTTTGAAGACGTACTTGTTATTTTTAATCAGATAGCAGAGGCAATACATTAAAAGACTCACGAAACTTTTAAGTCAGACCTCCTTCCCTAAAGAAATAGTCACACAACACTCAATTTTTATGAGCTGGTGGAGTCATCAGTTAATCTGAGACAGAAACAGCAACATACATGTGAAAACAGGTATGTAACAGTGTAACTCAGCACCAGGAATTTCACAGTGGCAGCCTCACACTTCCAGAAACCTCCACCATACTGAAATTAGGGTAGCATTTTGGGATGCACTCTGATCCACCTCTGGACTACTTCAGACAAGAACACTTCCATTCCCTTCCTGCTCCTACAATGTTTTACACCAAATCTACCATCCTCTAGCTTTGGTATGACACCATCACTTCACTAACCCTATGAGAAATTTTTTTTGGGTGGATTTATTTCCTAGTTTCCCTACAGGAAGGAAGATGTATGTTTTGCTAGACTTTACATCCTGCAGGAAAAAACCAAACACGCAGAGATTACCCCTGTTGGTGGCAGCCCTCAATTGCCATCAAGTCTGCCCTGAAATGGGACTGACCATCCCTGAAATGGTACTTCACTGGTGTCACCATTCAGAGCAGACAACACCACAAAATATGTACTTCAGACAGAAACCTTCTGGTCATGAGAGTAACACTTATCAGGGTGTGCTCACAACAGTTACACAAGGGAGGTATGTGCCTGCACCAGAAGGAACAGATGTCTTCCTGACAGGGAACACAGGGATTAGTAATCCCTCTTCCAGGCCCCCAAACATGCATGAAAACTCACAGCTTGGAAATACAAACCTGGTTTAAACCCAATGGAGAACAGATTTACTTTTAGACAAAAGAAGCCAGGATTAAACCCGTTTCTAAATTAAAAACTGTGGGTTTGTATTACAGCAATAAAAATCCACATAAAGGGCACTTTGAAAAGCTTCATGGCTTTACACCATCGTTCCAGCACTGTTTACCACAGCTGCTAGTGCCCAGTGATGACCCACTGTGAGGGCCACCTGCAACACAAGACACTGCAGAACAGAACCTGTAGCTCAAGGCACCCCTGCTGTAATTATCCAAACACAAGCTTTGCTTTTGTCCAATCCAGGTTCTGCCAGAACAACCAGACTAGAAAAAGCAGCTTCACTGTGCACTGCAGCCTTGATCTCAGAACTCATACTGAATCCAACAAAAAAAACCCAAACCCACTCTTTTCCTGGCAGGCAGCTGTGAAGGGCAATAAAAGCCCCAGCGTTAACTCCTCATTGGTCAAAACCTGTCACACCATGTCATACCAGGTTCCTGATTTTGATGGACCAGGTTTTTATTTATCCTGCTTCAAAAGGAATCCAATTCCTCAACACTGGCATTTAGGACACTTCCAGAGATAAGCAGGTGAACTTTGGGGACTTCTGCACTTAGGGTACCATATCTCCTCCTCTGCTCCTCCCTCCCCAAATGATGCTGGAGCTGGACACTGCACAGCTGGACTTATGGCAACAGCCAGCTCCTCAGGGGCAGCACACACCAACTGCAGCAGTACCAGCTCCTGTGGCTGGATTTGGGAGCTGTTGAAAACCACAGGAAAGGAAAAAAAACTCAAGCCAAAACCCAACTCATATAGTGATTACCAACTGAAGCTTGTTTAAAAAAAGCCAAGCCTCCAAAGATCACAATACAGACATCTGTCCTGTTTTAAGAAGCTGGCAGCTGCACTGTTGATTACCCAACACCCACGTCTCATCCAGGTTTCAAATCTCCACTGTTGGAACAGCATCTAGGGTTAAGGTGGTTTTTTTTTTTTTTGTTTTGTTTCATTCAAGAGATTATCATTGTGTGATCAGCTTCACAAATTTCATTGAGCTGTGTAAATACTTACTTTGAAAAGCAATAAGGGGGTTGAGTCACAAATGAAGATTGACCAAAACCAAATCCTTTATTTCCACAACTGTATAAATGTGTTCCAAGTATGTGTCCAACACAAGTTAGAAAAACAAAATAGAACATGCCAGTTGCAAACTAGATCAGTTCACCGACGTGCTGACTCCTTGGTATTAGGCTTAGTTACACAAGACCAGTCACAGTAAAAAGATACATTTTAGAGTACAAAGTAGCAGGATGTTAAGCCATTTCAGCTTGTGCACATACAAGTCACACTTCTGGCAGAAAATGCAGAGAAGTTTGCATTACTACGCTGGAAGCTATGTTGCATCACTTTAAATGGCATCGATATCGATATCGTCATCTTTATTGTTTGCAGGCTTCACAGTTTCAACTTTAGGTACACTGGCAGTTGTGGAGTACACCACCTGTGGGGACAAGACACATCCTTTAACTACAGCACCTATTGCCACTAAGCACTGGAGTAATTCCAACACCCAACAACAACCCAAGCACCCTCCTGACCATGGCCATGAATCCCTGCTTTATAAGGTAGAGCTGTGCACGTGCATCTGAAGGAAGCAGCATCTCCTATTCAGGAGTGGAATAATACAATGCTGGGAGGAGAACAACCAACCAATCCCTGTGTAAAAACACTACCAGCCACAGCCAGATGGAGTATAACCAACACATTTTACCTAGGCCTGTACTGTGAGGAAAATAATCAGCTACTCTTTCATCAGCTTGTCTAACAAACACACCCCCACTAAGTCATCTACAACATGAGACACGATACTTGATACCTCCTGCGAACCTTGCACAACACGGGCTGCTACTGTGCAAGAGACTCTCACTGTAGAATGATACAGTCTTGGGCTACCCAGGTGCGATTGCATTACAGCAATCTCATGTAGACATCTGGCAACAATTAGCAATACTTAAAGCATTGTAAATGGAGTGTTCCTCCTGTTCCCAACATGCACAGCAATACCCCCAAGTAATCCATTTCAGAGTGCATCAGGACAAGGTTACAAAATTAAGCATGCAGGAACAGTGCAGCTTTGGAGCTGCTGACAGTAAATGAGCCTTTCCTACCTCTATGTTTTCATCTTCATCCTCTTCTTCATTACCAGAAGATTCTTCTTCAGCTTCCTTTAGCCATTTAATAAATGGTTCTGCTTTGACACGGATTTCTTTGGCAAGGTCCTTTGAAACGTATTTCTTTGAGGCCTGAAAGAGACTTTGTGTGAACACTGAAGGAGTTTACACCAGATTGTACCCCAATTCTGCCTAAACTGCAACTCTAATCTCACCCACTGCCTTCCACAGCCCATTTTCATGAAGGAGGCTTCTTACTGCACAATCTACACCAGAATGGAGAAGCCAAATGCAATAGGCTACACCTTCAGGTATTTAATTGCTACAGTACATTACATACTGCCCATTACCTTTTCTGCCCAGCCAAGGATGACTTCTTCTTCCAGAAGATCTGCATCATACATTTCCTTCAAAATATGTGGTATTTTTGAAATAAGCTGAGACTGATGCATAGCTACCACACACTCAAAGCCATGGAGAAGGTACCTCTGAGCTTTCTTGTTGTTGTGGCAGAACTAGAATTGTGATAAAAGTAAAAGTGATTGAATTAGCTTTTTTACCCTCTCTCCATACTGAATATAGAGCAGAAGCAGCTCTAGGAGATTGCAAAATCTACAATTCATACAATCCCTTCCCAGCAGCTCCCCCTAGCTAAGGAGTTTAAAACACTAAAAAAGTCCTTCCCCATAGTACCAAGCAACTGCTACAAAAAAAACTCTGAACAGTTGTCAGAGTGAGTGCAAAAGAGATGGCTTACACGAAGGAAGTGACGTCTGTATTTTCTGATTTGTTCACGAATCTTTTCATCAAAAAGGACTTCAGTGAGAACAAGTGGGCCCATAGCCTTCACATCCAGTCTCTCTGCTTCTGCTACAATGTCTTTGTCAGAAGTATCGATGACACCTTCTTCCTTCTTTTTCTAGAGGAAAACAGGTGCAGAGAAACATTTCAATGCCACTTGAGGGCTGCATTAATGCTCTTTGCAGTCCTGCCTTCCCACTGCTGTACCTCGCAGAAGATTGAGCAAGTTGCTTTTAGTTTCCTTACAAACATTTTGTACAATTACAGCTGAGTGATTGTATCACACCAACAACCAGAGAATAGTTACCTTTACAAAATCAAATAGTAAGTTGACCCTCTCCTCTATAGTTCTTTCCAGGTCTTCACTAAGTGTGAGGTTTTTCGCATGGTCACTGATTTCATCCATTCTACGCCTCTGGGCTTCTTCTGTTGTGTCCTCACCCCAGTCATCATCATCCTCCTCCTCCTACAATGCAAAACAAAACAAAAAGAGATCCACACAATATTACTGCAGGCTTAGTATTATGAAAAGACAAATTAGACTTGACAACATTTTTTTATAAAAATAAAGAAATGCTTATAATACAATTTGCAAGTCAAAGATCGTGGAGAAAGTGCAAACAATAGTAAATAAGTAATGGAAACTAGACCTAATTCTATAGCCATCTGTGTGGCTATCTGAACTGCAGTTTTACTATTCTGCCTAGTACACAGGAGACAATCCACGCCTGAAAAGGAGTGATAAAGGATAAGCAGCTTTCACTTAGCAAGGAGCACAAATGCTGGCACTGATGAGCCAATAAAGCTGCTAGAGGAAAATCAGGGACCCTTCTATTTCAGCACTAAGTTCTGGATACAGCAAGACCTTTAGGTGCAATGTTGACCAGCAAGGAATACCAGTGATTTCAAAGGTTTAAATCTGAGCAACACACCAAACACCCTTATCTCCCCACTTTCCCTTCTACTTACCACAACCTGTGGAGGAGTTATCTCCTCTGGTGGTGGGGGTGGAAGTGTCTCATTGCTGGACACAGAACCATTCTCTTTGTCCTTGCCTTTTCTGTTCTTCTTCTCCTTTTCTTTCTTTCCTGTACCAGTGTCACCACTTTCTGCAAGTGAATTTTAATGTTTTGTTCTATGAACTAGAGCAAACTAGAAAGTCCCTGCACCGCTGCCAAATCCCAAAGTGGGTTTGGATGCTTTCATTAGCTGCAAGTTATGGGTACTACCCATCCCCAAAAACACTCAGGGAAGATGTACATTCAGTGGGGAAACCCCCAGCTGCAGTCAAAGTCCTGTTTGTCACCAAGATTGTCCAAGTCTATATAACAGATGACCTCACAAAGTAGAGACCCCTGGAATAGGTTAGACTTTTCTATTCTAGCAAGCTTAAATTGCAGCAGGCAACTAGATGCTTACTACAGAGTGTTGCTTGCACAGTTAGTTAAAATTTACTACAGTTTTTACTTCCTACTCTCACATTTCATGCTGACCTAAAGGAACAGTTGTCATGAGCTACTGCTAACAACCTTCCTTCCTTTTAAGCTTTGTGCTACACAGGCAAATCCAGCTTTTAACGAACAGCTCTACTTGGGAAGGACATATTTTAAGGAGGAAAGACATTACCAGCACAGCTCCATCTTGATCCCCAAACATACTCTAGAAGTATGCCGGTACCTTTTTACATTTCATTTAAATGTGAGCTATTTATTTTTTTACTTCCATACCACCACTAATACAGAAGTTCTCTTTATTCCTGGAAGTAAGAAAAGGCACTTACCAGGTGGGTTTTTGAGAATGAACGTGCAGAGTTTATGGTTTGTGTCAAGCATGCCTCGATAGCCACAGGCTTTGCAAGAGTTACCTATAGTTTGTTTCTTAGGATTGACATGCTGTAGAGAGAGAACAATCTCCAGTTAATTTACTACTTACAGAAGAATTTAATTAAAGCATAAACCTGATGTCTGTATTATCTCCAAAGGATTAAGGCAGAGGTTTAAATACTTTGTATCACCCTCTAAAGACGAAGTTCAGAAGCCGCAATTTATCCCAGAAATTCTTAACTGTTAAGAGATGTAAAACCTTCCCAAAGGGTGCAAAAATGTGTACTTGATTTTCTGTTTGTAGATACTCAAGTCTGCTTTTAACTTGCACCACTTTCACAAACATCTAATACAGTGTTTCCATAGTGTCAGTGCTAATGCAGATAGAGAGGACTCACCAGATCAGTTTCAGGATTCTCACACTCAGGACAGAGAACAAATTTTTTAATGAATCCATCCAACATGTCTTGCAGCTTATTCGCCTCATGAGATCCATTGACAATGTAACGGTCATTCTTAACATCAAACTGGGTCTGTGCTCCCAGCTCACAACCAAAAAATTTGGTAGGATCTGTAAAGGAAGAATTATAGTCACTACCACACTCATATCTTCATTGTGTTTCTTTGGCAACAAATATATAGGCTACTGTTTCTTTATGTCCATTATTTAATCCTGAGAAAATCACATATCTTTCTTACAAATCTTTAAGGAAAAGCATTAATGCTTTATTAGTTAATTAATACTACCACTTCAAACACAAAAGCATTAGAAAATGTCGTGTCATTCCACAGTACTACTTACACGTTGGAGGCCGATTAAGCGCCTTTGCAACGTCAACCATGTTGACTATAACCGTCTTTATTCCATTTCCTTTGCCTTCCACCTAAAAAAAACAAGTAATGTTTTAAGTTACCAGCCAACCAAGTGTGCATTTCCCATTTAACTACACCAAAATTCTACTTTGAAGTGCATCTCCTTCCAAGACCTCATGTGCACTTAAGTGTGGACCAAAGGAGCGGACACCCTCCCCATCCTGAGTGGCCAAGCCTTATCATGACCTCTTCTTTCCCCTCCCAGGAGAACCAGTTATAGGAGAACACTCCTTGCTTACAGCTACTCAGGAAGTTACCTTGGCAATCAGACGGGGCATTTTGTAGCGATAGAACTGATCTGAAACACTGCGGTTGACGTTGACAGACATTTTGCCTTATTAGTAGCTTTATCAATAAGATGAAGAGATCTTTGATTGCAGTTTTTTGGTATCTTCTGTCTGGAGAAGACGGGATGACATAAACGACTGCAAGAGTTCTCGGTCTCTGACATGAAAAAATTTTCGCCACTGAGGCTGTAAGGTTCTTGCTTGTATGCTATGTTTCCCCAATACAGGTACCAGTGGCTGCGCAACAGCTCTGCAAGTATTAACAAACAAACAAACAAAAACCAGTTTAGCTTAATGCACATCAATCCACTCTTGCTACAAAGCTATACAAGGGATTTTAT